AACCTAATTTGAAATTCAGCACAAGCTAGAGAGAGGGGGAAGACAACATTTGAATTGTACAAAAACCAAGCTAAAAGGAATATCGCCATCAGACATTGCAACTGGAAAAATTCAACATGAATCTTAAACATTTAAGGAAGAAACCTCTCTGTTGTACATAGATATCAGGTAAATAAAACATAATTTGTCAATTAATACTACAATATGTGCATGAAACACACAGCAATCAATTTGCCTCTTGCCCTTGTAATGGTTTATATGATTTTCAAAAGACAAAATTGAATAACAATGTATGCTCACAATAAAGATTTATACAAATAGAATTCAAACTTTAAAAGGTGATGGGTTTGACCTCCACAGTATGTAAACAAATACAACATGTTCCATCAAAATACATTACACTCACATTTATACATGTATCCCAACTCCTAATCACACAGATTCAATAGAAATACTAGGAGAAAAAATATCGAACGGTAGGAAATTGAAGTAAATATTACCTAAACAAATTGGACATTGAACATCTTTGCGAATTTCTGGAAGTTCCACAAAGACAAATCTGGAAGAGAAACATATAATGTTATTAGAACTTTCTATCAAGTCATTTAATAGATGTAAGTTGCAATATAAAATTCAGCGCATGTGCTTGAAGCTGGCAGCAAGCATGCCAGTAGAGAAATACATCTATTGCGATCATCAAGATAGGAAAATATTCCGGTCAATGTGAAGCAAGTAAATATATGACTACAAGCAGATTAGCACTGGATGGGTTTGAAGAGCTTGGTTTACCTACTTTAAAAGGGTAAAATGAATGTTTCCAAGCAATCATATGTAAAATGCCATAATGAGCAAGGAAATCCCAAAGTCTCACCTGACACTTTACAATTATTCTGAAAACACTATGAGAAAACAAAAAGAAAAAAGGTGTTATTTTTTTGTGAATCTGGAAAGATTAAGGGTGTAAGAAATACAAGCAAGCCCTCAATCAACTCAGCAAAAGAATCCTCACATGTTCTATATATATACATATATATAGCACTTAAACTAACAAAGAAAAGAATGGTCAAATCTTATGGTTTGTACATAAGACAACACTCCCTTTCATTGTAAGTTAGTGCCCAACCTCTGATTCCTATTGGTGGCTAGAATTGAAAATGGAACGCTACTTTTTAAAACCCTACTAGATTGTACCCACTCTTACTTTCTTTCTTGCTTACAGAGCCATCAGCACCAAATCAATAAAATTGGTAGTAGTATTTTACTGAGATGATGTTATTTGGAGAAACTTTTAAAAGACTAGGCATGTAGGCACCACCCCAGTACTGCTATATGACCGTGTGACTCACTGCTTAGCAAAGTTAGGCTAGTGACTTATTAAGGTTTTATCAGATTCCATGGAGTTGAACACATATCACATGATGGAACTCCAAAAATCAAGGGTGAAATAAGAGGGAAAAAGAACAAAAAATAAATCCAGAATCAAAGATAAAAGTGATTTGGTTTAAAATAAATCATGCACATTATGGACGGTAGAAGGCAACCAACTACAAGTATACAAGCACATGCTAAGCTAGTATTTCTACATGTTGGTAATGAGCATGCCAAGTTTTTTACTTGATAAACATAGGACCCTGTACCAATAAAGAAAATAACAAGAACAAATTTCAGTATTTTCCAGCTTTATGTGGTTACGAGCATGGACAGTACGGTACACAGATCGTTGACATGCAAAATGCAATCGACTAAACGATGAAGAAATAAATCACAAAACACAATGCCATACAGCGAACAACATAAAAACCCAACAAATAAAACGCATATCCCTTTCTTTTTAACAGCTAAAACCACCCAAAACATAATACATGCTCCTTAAACAAAAAGAAAACAAAATCGCAGCACACCCAGCTGCAAAAGCAGAGCCAAAGCTAATTATGCAGCTAAAACTGGATTCAAAATTTATTAACGACAACAAAGGAAAAGAAAAAAAGAAAACAAATATTATTGACAGAAAAAAGAGAGAGAAAGAGTACTCAGGTTTCTCTTGAGAAGTAGAAGATTGGCTTCCATCAGAATCTGAGAAAACAGAATCCCACAATCGAAATCAACTTCAAAACACGTGTTTCCAACTATGCATCGACCAACATATAAAAATAATAAAAAGGAAAAGGACGTTACCATCTTCATCTTCTTCATCTTCATCTTCGTCATCGCCTTGGAGTTGTACTTGGTGGTTTTGGTCATCTGGGTCCTGTTTATGATATTGTTGTTGTTCTTGCTCTTGCTCTGGCTCAGGCTCTTGTTCTTCTTCCAGTTGCGTTGTCTCATCTTCAGTTTTGTGTTGGTCTTCTTCGTTTCGAGATTGCTTGGAGAGGCTTTGGTGATGAAGGCTGGACTCTTCATCGTCGAGATTCTCTGGCAATGACCGCTTCTGGGCTGGCATTGATGCCTTTGCTTTCTCGATTCTCCGCCCTTTTCCTTTTCCACCAGAGACACCCAGCCGAAGAAGAGGAGGACGACCCAGAGATTGTTCACTTGTTTTTTTTTTTTTTCTTTTTGTATGGGTCGATAAAAAGAAAAAAGGAAATAGAAACAGATGGGGAGAGATTTAGCCGCTACTGCCCTTTTCCAATTGTTTTTTTTTTTTCCTCTCTGTGCTAAGGCTCTAATAAATAATAATGTTTATGTTTAATTAATTAAGAAGAGATCAGGATCAGCTGTTAAACGAGCACATGTTGGCTCGGTGGGCGGCCTTCTCTCTCTATCTCTACTCTTCTCAAGTGGCCTACTTTGGACATTTTATTCTTTTTCCTTTTCTTTAAAATGATTATAAAGGTTTCTAAAATTAGGGTTAAACCTTTCTATGTTAAAATAAGTTGGCATAATATTTTTAAAAACTTTAATTATTAAAAAATTTAAATAATTAATTAATTTTTGATTATGTTGAATCAACTATTTTTATTTTTATTTTAATCAAATAAATTTTTACAGTTAATGATTAATTAACTATTATTATTTAAAATATCAATCATTTTATGTCTGTTAATTTGATACGTTATAGTGATATGATATTTTGACATGGCATAATGATATAATCATATGGCATTTTTATCTTCTATATCAATACTATATGAATATAAAATGCTTGATTAATTATGGTTAATTAATCATTCGTAATAAGAATTTATTTAGTTTAAAATAAAAATAATGAGACTTGATTAAATGTATTAGAAGAATAAAAATTTAGTTACATTTTTTGTAAAGTTTATAATCTTTTTAAAGTATTATGTTGAATAAGTTAAAAAAAAGCCCAAAATTACCATACATAGTGAACCTCAAATAACAATGTATATTGCAAAATAAACTTTAATTTTTGAAATTTGAATTATCATATTCAAATTATTAACTTCTTCGCACTCAAGCATGATGCATTTTTTTTTTAACATTTAAGTTTAAATCTTTCTTTTAAAATAAAAAATTTTTACTTTTTAATTCATATTATACATAATTGAGTTGTCTATTTCAAATGACATAATACTTTAAAAAATCTTTAAATTAACCCTAAAAATTTAAATAAATCTTTAATCTTTTATTACATTTAATTAAGTTTATATATTTTTATTTTAAACATTTATAACTAATAGTTAATTAATTATCATTAATCAAAATGTCCATTGTCATTTTATGCTTACGTAACACTGATATGACATTGATGTGAAAAATAAAAAAAAAATCAGATGATTATATCATCATGTCACGTAATCATCCACTATAACATGTCAATATATTATATTAGTATTATAAAATTTAAAATAATAAGTAAAATTTTAATTAATAATAATTAATCAATCATTTTAAATTCATTTTATAGAAAAGCAACGAATTTAATATTACCTACTTCCTCGTATAACCTAATGTTGTGAAGTTTTTTTAATTTTGACTATTTTCATGATTTTCCATTATGATATCACTGATACCCATAAAAAAATCATTTTTTAGTAAATAGTTTTGTATTTTGTTTTTTATTTCATTAAAATGGCAACAAAAGTAGGTAAAAAAAAAGGACAACTATCAATGCAGAGATGCGATAAGCATGCAATATTCATGAAAATAATATTATCACAAAAAAAAATTAAAAAGAAGTGAAACTCGTACCTAAATATTTAGTTTATTGATTAATGTATTATTTTTTATTTAAAAAATAAAATTTAAATCTCCTTCCTCAATTATAAGAAAAATAAATAAATGAAACTCATCCTTAAATATTTAGTACTATTAATACCAAAAATACAAATCATGAAAAATGTGGAAAAACGCACTTTTATTTATCTTTCGGTGTGGAAAATGGGAAAGCACTTTTGAGTTTTGGCAAGCACCAGGCACGCATGCAGGCAAAATTATGAAGAAAACAAAATTAAAAGCTATGGATGACGTGGGATGTCATGGCTTATCTGTACATACAGTCCACACTCCACACCCTATTTTACACTAATCTTTTCAGTCGAACAATTGCTACTGCTACTTTGGATGATAGAACCAAAACCAAAAAAGAATTCCACGTTTCCTCAACATTAACGTGTTGTAAATTTGTTTATGCTACACTAAATTGAAGTGGCCAAAATTGACCATAGCAGATGCGGCGTGGCCACACTCTGCCCACCCGCCCCTCCGTTGTACTCATAAAAATGGTGAATTTACGCAGAAATAATCAGCTTTTTCTTTTCTGTCTTATTAAAGAGACGTGGATTAGCTTCTATGATTTGATAACCCAAGACATGCTATCAAGGAATGTTAGAAAGGATTGGAAAGAAAAGTGCATGATGCACTATCTGTCTAGCTGTGGCAAATTTATACCCTGCAAGTTCTGCAAGCAAAAGTGATGGCCGATGGCCAAGTAAAACTAGTCAGATAGTAATCAGTTATAGAAAGTCATTTCCAATCATTTTCTTTGTTGTGACAAACAGAGACCAGAGCAGACGTAGCAGAGCTGTAGGTATGTCAAATATGATCGTCATTATAACAGGTGGAACTTGGAAGTCATTTCTTGGGATGATATCAGTGTAAGCAGTGCCATACGCTCTTACAAGTTACAGCTTACGAGAAACGTGAATAACCGAAATCAGAAACTAAAAAAAAACAAAACATGCCAAAAACACACACGACAGGTAACAACTCCTCCACCTTAAGACAAGCCAAGCGGCTGCTTATACTGGGAAGTTTCCTCCCGTGACACTAAATTTGCCATGTGTGTTGTTTGACAGCAATATTTACCTTCGTCCTTCTCAAAAAGTAGACGTCAGAGGCGCATTAAATCATGAGTAACCCTGTCATCTTATAAATTTCACCTCAAAGTCTTTCGTACCAACTATTAAAATGATTGTGATTACAACAGATGAAACTTGGAAGTCATTTCTTGGGATGATATTCAGGGACCGTATGGGCTTCGTTCTTGGCTTCTATTCTGAAAACATTGGCACAGAGGACTCTTTCTATGCTATCCACGAGAGCGACTCTTTGAATGCCATTAACTGGGTCAACAACCACAATAAAGCTCCGTGGAGGATGAATAACATCTTGAATGCCATTGAGGTTTACCTATTCAACAGTGTAGGGATCTCCTTCAACAACATCATATGAGAAGCCAATACCGTGGCAGGCGGATTGGCCAACGCAGGGGGTGATAAGAGCTTCAAACTTCAGATCCTACTTTCAGAACCATCAGAAGGAGGGTGATTAAAATGCTCATTTTCAGTTGGTTATTTCTGGAGTTTATTTTCTCAGTAGATGTCACTGTTTCACTGATGTCTTAAAATGCTTCCATGCTCTGTTTCATTTCACTTTAACTTCTGAACGTAGCAGGCCTCCATCGTTTTGCAGCCTGCTACTATTATTCATGGCATGCTTGATCCCTCTTTTGTCAGTCTCCTCTTGCCAGACCTTTAAGTAATAAAACTATGCCTTTCAAAAAAAAAAAAACAAAAAAACAAATGTACCCGTGAAGGCATCTTTGTCTAAATGAAATAGCAGCATTTCCCTCATTGTTTTCCCCAACTCGGGCACCTAACCATATATAGGTAGAACCAGAAATAAGGAATGAGTTCTAGAGTAGAATTACATATTGTTACATGCCGAATCTAGCTTACAAAAGAGGAGATAAAGGGAAAAGGAAATCCATACAAAAGAAATTTTACAATCTTAATCATACCTGACATCGCATACTGTAATGCAGTGTATGGATGCCCATGTCATTTGCTGAATTTGGGGAGGAATACCACAATTCCATCACCATCAGCTGTAAGATTACAGAAATGCATTTGCACTTATATGAGCTTTATACTTACATTGAGTAAGACCGAAGTTAAAAACAAATTTCAACAGCATCTGAAGTTCCTCAAACAATAGAAAATCTCTGGTTGGCAAACCACTAACCCTTCATCCTCTTACCAAGAAGAGTTAAGACTGTAGATAATAGAAACAGAATAATTTGCATGTAATTACCTTATACTTCTCCCTTAGGCAGGGGTAACCAAATGTTATTAGAAGCACAATCAATCATTCTACTGTAAACCTTGGAATCGGCTACCAGTTCTAGACCATGGAATCAGTTAATAGCAAAATAGCATGAGTGAACAAATATCTGAACTAGTAACAAAGAAGAATAAATGTTCAAGCACTCTTAACAAACTACTAAACATAGATGCAAAATGTATCCATGAATCCATTCTCTTCAAGACAAGTTCATTTTCACATGATTAAAAAAAAAATCAACTATAATGATAATATATAACATTAAAGGGCATGATGATGGTCAAGGCCGTACATGCAACAATATTATAACCTAGCAGCATAAATGAGTTATGTAGTTAAGCCATATATTGCATATTGCTAGAGCCATGACTAGCAACTCTTGCACCAATAAATGGATGTCAAACTGCTGTTGACTCTTCTATTTGACCTAAATACAGATCTGCAGTACATAAATAATACAGAATGATAATATGACTAGCGTTACATCCCTACATGACAGAAGAGAGAGAGCATATATGCTGCAGAGCAAACAATTAGATCTCATCTGATCTGAAAATGTTCGTACGTGGAAGTTTCTTGGATAGTCAACTTAATCCTTCCCCTTTCATCAACCTGCCCACAGATCATATCCTTCAACTGGGTGCCTGTTCCTTTGCGGCCTGAGCCTTCCCCATGAGATTCAGTGGAGTTCTTCCTTCGTCTCTCATTATGCCCAGCCAAACGCCTGCGACAACTTCTTTTGGCTTCATCAAATTCAGAAAGCACGTGGAATCTGAATCAAATCAGAGTAATCAGATAACCTTTTGTAAGAAATGGAAATTCCAATATATTCTCCTCCAATAAATTAGACATTGGAAAATAAAGATAGCATAATCAAATAGCAACCAAGCAAGTATACAGCATGTGACAGAAGAAGTCACAAGGTGGAGGTGCAAGGGTGTGTATGTGCTAGAGAAGAAAGAGTAAAATATCCAAGATATTAGTCAATAAACATGTTTTTATTTTTGGGAAGATGAAAACAAAAATCAATGTAATTGTAGTAAGAAAAAAAAAATCTTAGACATTGAAAGGTGAAAATAGCATCCAAACGCAACAAGCAGGTACAAAGTGTGTGGCAGTATCTAAATTTTGAGTGCTTGTGAACTGTGTCAGGGAAAGAAAAGAGTGAAAACGAAAGTTGGTATAATGTCCCAGCAATTAAAAACCAAGCAAAGGAGGGGGAAAAAGAACTTCATAAAATGAATAAAATCAACCTGAAAATAGAGCAGTTGCAGTAAAATCCAGGTTCATAAGCAAAGTAGATCAGACAAGTTAGTGAAATCATCTGACTACATAGATAGAAAGGCAAAGTCAATGCATATTAAACAATAGACATGGAATATAATCTTCAAACCAGTCATGAATAAAAGAGAATAGCGAATCTACGAATGCTAGTTAAATCAAGTTTTAATGCTTTAACGTCATGTGTCCTGGTTTTTGCATACTCCTATAAAACAACATTATCCCAAAAATTGACCAAATATTCTGCGACTATTTAAATGAATTAATAAAAAAAAAGTAATAGAATCAGAGCACAAGAAAACCAACACCCTAAAATTGTAACTTGCAAAAGAATTATTCAAGATTTGTTCAACTGTTGTATCCTACCACTCTTTACTCAAAAGAGAATCTTCCTTTACCACTGAGAGTTGAAAAGGGGTGTGACTCTTGCTCAAGAAAAGCGACTGTACAGCTTTACCTATTGAGATTAACCTCGTAAATCCTTTTGAAGCAAGCATAAGAAAATTTGCAATTTTTTCCATACAAGTCAAACCAATTCAACTTTATTCAACAAAGCTTTCAAAATTTCCAACTTTTTGGGATCAATTACATGAATCTTTAAAATCAGGTAAAATAAAGTTGCAAATTTGCCATAACAAATGAATAATCAATCATTTGACATTAATACTAACCAAAAAAAAGCATGATAAAAAATCCAAAGGAGCAAATAAAAGAGCCGAAACCTGCTACATTGTTGACAAAAGCGCTGCCTAAGTCCAGCCACAAGCGCAACCTGAGCCTTGGAATGATGTTCACACACTTTATGCCTCCTATGATACTGCTTTGCATCACTCAGATCAGCCGTACAGTTCTCTGCCTGACAACACCTCATAGCACCAGCACCAGTTAACCCCTTCCTCCCAGACCCACCAGCAGCAGCAGCACCACTGCCACCAAGGACGATCACATCCTTCCTTTTCTTATCATCATCTTCCATAGACCCACCAAATTGCAGCTCACTCCCATCATCATCAGACTCCATATCTGCCTCCCTTTTCACCACCTTCCCCATCTTTTGTTTCCCTCTTGCTTCCATCTTTCAACAAAATTAGTAAAACTTTTTAACAATAATAAAGACAGAAAAGAATAGTACAAGAAAATATATACACATACGCTATTTACACAAGTACTATCTGTGTGAAGAGAGTGAAAAGAGCAAAAGAGTGAGAAAGAAGGAGAGGGAGACCCAAGTAGAATAGGCAAGTAAAAGGATGAGAGACAGAGTGAATGAGTTAGGACCACAAGCTCCATTTTGTTTCCTTTTTGCTGGGTCTTTTAAGCGTGTGTATGGTTTGTATAGAAGGGAGGCTGATGAAAATCAGAACTTACTGAGAAAAAGTCTTTATTTATTTTTTCCATGTGTGCTTTTTCTCGTGAATGGTGGGCCCTCACAGTAGTAATGTTAGGTTTCTGTGGTTTGTTCTGCAGCATCTCAAATCATTCAGGATGACAATCTTCTAGCGGTTGCTTTGTCTGCTACTGCTTTGCTTCCGCTTATTGTTTAAAATAATTTTAACTATTAATCCGTTTGATCATTGAAAAAAATTTTGTTTTATATAAAATATTTTATAAAAAATTTCAAAACTTTTATTATTTAAATAAATTATTAAAAATATTTTTTATTATTTAAATTATTTTGTAAAAAATATTATCTATCTTAATTGGTGAAGTTGTTTTGAGTGTGATAATTAAAAGTTGATTACAAAATAATAATATTAAGTGATTTGCACATAAGCAATCAATAAGTTGAATGCTTATGTGCAAATCACTTAATATTATTATTTTGTAATCAAGAGTAAGATTTGAATCTCTTTTTTTTAATTATAAAATAATAATAATAATATTATTAGTTAATTTTTACTAATTTAGAATTAAAATTAGGAATAAAAAGGAAAATAAGCAAAATAAATAGTGATATTTACCATAAAACTATGAAGATATCCATATTCATCTATTGTGGAAGACATCTAAAACCTACACTTATAAATATGTATTCATCAAATGATAATCATTTAAATATTTTTTATAATAATTATTAATAAAACTTATTCAATTTATAAATAAAAATTTTAACTGCATTGAATGATTTCTTTAAAAAATATTTTTAATTTTAATAGTATTGAATAATTTAAATATTAATATTTATCAAAGATATACTCCTAGGCTTACTATTAAGAGTATTTTTTTTGTTCTCCATAAAATATCTTACACCCCTCACAAGTGTAAGACATTTTATGTGGTTAATAAGTGTTTTTCCTATTAATTTGTAAAATATTTTACATTTGAAGTAAAATTTTCACTTTCTAAACAAGTATAAATCTTGAAAAGGTTTTTTAAAAAATATTTTATATTAAAACAAATGGACCCTATATTTTATTCTTTTTTCTAATAATTTGTAGTTAACATAAGTATATATATTTATTCTTTTACCTCCTTTTTATTATTTACCAATATCATCCATCACTTAACTCATCAATGTATCTATTATTTTTTAGATATCTTAACTCAAACTTTGTTATTTAATAAGGCATTCAAATCCTATAAATACTCAATTACATTTTTTGAAATTGTTATCAAATCCGTATCTGAATATTCTAGACACTACCCATTAAATACATGTACTAGCTAAATCCTCGATCAAAATAATTTTAAAATTAATTTTTATATATTATTAATAAAAATTAAATTAATAAATTAACATTAATTCATAAAAATAAATTAAAATTTAAAATCACATTTAAAACAATTAATGAATTTTAAAAATATTACATTAATTACAAAAAATTTTATAAAGAAAAAATCATATATATATATAACAAAAATTGAATACTAAAAATCATTATTTATAATCAGGTTCACCCACTACTAAAGTTATGATAGAATAATAATTTTACTACTTAAATCCAATTATAAAATATCTCAATTTTAATTAATCGAATCAAATACTACAAAATACTCAATTATAAAATATCTATGGCCTCCCTACTTAAACATCAATAGAATACTTATGAAATATATACTAGTATCAACTTTTAATAAAGAAAAATGTCACCAGCTTTTTTATACAAAAAGTAGGAGCATCATAATTACAAAATCTACTTCTACATGCCACTCTCACTTCGATGACTATCAAATAGGGAAAGCACAAGTAAATGGCCAAGTTAATCCCCATTCTGAGCATTTATCAAACATGATTTCCTTAACATATTTATCCAACATAAATATTAGAGTAGTATTAATTTATCTTACTTTTATTATTTGATATTGTCTTACAATAAATGAAACTTGTAAATAGATCAAATCTCAATAGCCTAATTGTGTGAGTAAGCAACCAACAATGAACACAACCAATCCATCTCTTCTTTCCTTATCAAATGCACCACTTATTGTACTTCATCAGCGACGGACCTACCTTCAATAAAGATTCTAAATCAAATAAATTTATCAAAAAGTAATTTATATATTAATATTTAAATAAAAAAATTCTTTTTATAATTTGAAATTTTATTAAAAAATTAAAACCTAAATTACTCTCTTTCTCCAAAAAAAATTCAAGTCCTACACCCACAATGATGTTTTTTCTTCTCAGTCTTTGGTTGTATTTTTTACTCTTTCAAAATAATTCATTTAAGCTTTAATTGTAAGCAGTTTTCAACTCAAATTAAGTTTTTAAATATTTTATATTTAAAATTTTTTGATTAATTTGATAGCTTGGATCCATGATTAAAATCTAGCTAATAGAAAATAGTATTGTATATTAAATAATATCTTGAAATTATGAATCTTTCTTTTTTTATTTATTTAGTAGATATATTATTTGATTACTTAATTTTTGTATTTAATTTTATATAGTTTATGAATACTTATATTTAATTTTGATCAATGAATAAAAAATTATCATTTTTTAGTTCTTAAACCTGTTAATTTATAATATTAGATCGTATTTTATTTAATTCTAATATTTAAGTTTATGTTAATGAGTAATAATTTTTAATAAATTTTTATAATTTTAAATAAATAAATTGTATAATAATATTTTAAATGAAAAAAATTAACTTAGAAAACTCAAATGCCTATAACAATAACAAAATTTTACTTACGGTGCATGATTATTTTACTTTAAAATATTAAATGAATATATTAAATCTACATTCTTTAATTTAATATTAAAACTTTTAATTTATAAATTTTGATATATTTATATTATTTTAATTATTACATCATTTTTTTAAAAAAATTCTTTATCCTTTCGTATACTCCATGATAACTAATATGGGCCAAGTTCCGACAGCTCGTTAGGCGATGAGTCTGGTAACGTGGGGCTACGTGATTGAGCAATTCTAAAGCAGCCTCTTTCTCTTCTGGATTCCACACATAAAGAATTGACATGTGAAAGGCTCCAGGAAAATGATGGTGTTGACTTGTTGGGACGGGAATACACGGGTCTCCCTCTCTTTTCTTTTTTAATCATAATTAATCTTATAATTATGCAATTTTAATAAAAAATTATATAGGGATCTCCACTTATGAATGTAGGTCATCCAATATTTGTATAAACTCTGTATAAGTCCATGACTTTGATTACACAATTGTAATGCATCACATTTATGAATATAAATTTCATATAATATTTTGATACATTCTGTACAATTCTTTATTGTTTTTAAATGATCATAATGAAATAACTATAATATTGATATATTTTTGCAAAGTTATGATATTATTTATCAGTGTTTCTTTTAGCACATTCAATGGTCCGAACCAAAAATAAAAAAAAGTATTGATATTATGTATAAATAATACAAATTTTATTAATTAAATTTAATTTCTCTCGTGTGGGTTAACATTTTCATGTCATTCATCTTATAACTCATATTTCTTAATTAATTTTTGGGCTTTCTAAGGTTCTTTACGTTTGCTTTTACAGTTTGTTGACCCATACGAATACCATGACTGGCTTCGTGTGGCTTATCATACACGTGTGGGAAGAAGAAAAATGAAAGTTTTAAAAACTACACTAAATTTAAGTCCATGATTTTAGATTTTTATCTTTAGATGAAATGCGTTAATTCGGTCTGAAACTTGATATAATCTGCTCTTTTATTATTAAACATGATTGTTTTTTAATTACTTATTATTTACTTTTCATACATATTAAATGTAGTCAATTGTTTTTATTTGTAAAAAAAATGTGAGGAAATGGAGAGAGAGTAATAACGAATTAACAATCTAACTTAAACTTTTGTGAAAAAAAAGGACATAATATTTGAAAAAGCTTATGAACTATTTAAAAAAATTTAAATAAACTCTTAATTTTTCTTACGTTCAATGAAATTTTTATATTTTATTTTGAGTCAAATAAGATTTTTTAACTAATAATTGACTAATTGTCATTAATCAAAATATCACTTATTATTTTATACTCACGTGATATTGACATGATGCTGATGTAAATTAAAAATGCTTGTTATCATGTTATTATATTACGTTATCATCTATTATAATATGTCAACATACTTCTTTAGCGTCACATAATAAAATGACAAGGGACATTTTGATTAACTATTATTAGTCAACTATGAGTTATAAGAATTTATTTGACTTAAAATAAAAGTATAAAAGTTTGATTGAAAGCATTAAAAAAATAAAAATTTATTTAAATTTTTTAAAAATAATTTAGAAATTTTTTTAAATATTATATCAAAAATAGGAAGAGGTAGGCGACAACCTTATCTAAACTTAAGGTATCAGGATTTTGAAATTCGTTTGCCATGGCTGGATAGGTAAATTGATTAGAAAATCAATACTTTTTCCTATAGCAAACACATATATGGTTATATATGTAGGTAAATTAAGCAAAGGATGTGGACAGATTTAGTATGTTAGAGAAGTGATCTTTATTTCATTAATGAAAAGCTGAGTGGTTGTTGAAGAGGAGAAAATCAGTTGACGGGCTGCAACAAAAACTTAAAGCTGTAAAGTAGCCGTTGGTGTCAAAACGCAGCAAGTAGGAGTCGTTTCCACTTTACTGATTTTCTAGTTAAAAAAACGGTGCTGTAGTGTGTCGTTTTACTTGGTCTTTTTTATATTGTTTCTCATACAATGTCATTTAGCATTTCTTGTAAGGCTTTAAGCCAAGTCTAGTTCAGTTTGTTTTTTTGTTTTGGTTACTTGGCACTGGTTTTCATGGTGAATGCTAAGCTGATTTTAGGCTCAATTCATATGTTGAAAATCGTTGCCACATTTAGGACCTAGAAAGT